TCCTGGCACTACATCTGGTCCTGGCACTAGATCTGGTCCTGGCACTACATCAAGTAAGCTTATGATTTTAAGATGATCAATATTTGCAATAACATTTAATATGCTAGAAAAAAACAGAAAAGTAATTTGATGGTTACTATATATTAAGTTGAAGAGTTGTTTATCATGGTTGCAATAATCATATGTATTAATTTCTTTTATAGCACCATGTACCAAGGTCGCTGGAATGGAAAACCCACAATTACTTCCTGCTAGTTATCTACAGCAACCAGCTGACTCCCCATCATCAGATAATCCTGAGAACTTAAGACCAACTTCATCAACTCCTTATAAGATTCCTAATGTACCAAGTGAGGGTGTTAACATTACAGTCCGCCTGTCACCAGATGGTAATCCAGTTCCTCTTAGTGATGTTGAAGCTATTAATACTGATAATGTTAAGTCAATAAAAGTGTTTGTATATGATGATACTCAAAAGGATTATGTACCAATAGAAGAAGTAACTGGCTCTGTAAGTTGTTTTGTTTTATGAATATTATTGTTTTTTATATTGTTGTTGTTGTTATGTTTTTATCTTGTTGGTGATGAGTTATTAATTCTCTGAACTGTGTTTTAGACATTAACAAAGAAAGTATTACCTGATGGAGTTGATACATCCAAAATCAAAATACTTGTTATACCTGATAATCCAGACAATCCAGTTGAACGTTAAATTGAAAATCCATGCCTGTTTTGAAGGTAATATTTTGTGAATATTTTTGCTGAAATGGTCGATTCATATTGACTTAGTTTCAATTTACTGAAGAAAGTTTTATTTATGTCCACTTGAAGATTTACTTCAAAATATTGTTTTGATCACATTTAAATGCAAATATATGAATATCTTGTTCAAAGATGATAATGCATGAATTCATGTTTTACTGGTAACCCATTTTTCAGTTCTGCCATTTCATATTCTTTATCTATTGATAGAAACTGTTGGCACAACACAAGGACCATCTGAAACATCAGCAACAGAAGGACAACCAGGAACATCACCATTATTACCTACAACACCTGGAACATCAGGTAAATTATTTTCATAATAAATATAAATTTGATATGTACACTACACTTAGAACATATAGTTCAATATCATCATGATATTTTGCCATACTGCCCCATTAACATTTCATAATTGTATTTGACAGAATGTACTGAAACAGATGGTATGAAAGATGCACAAATAATACCTGATTCAAGTATCACTTCACCTACATCACCTAGTGTTGACGTAACTCAAATTAGAGATGGTGGTGCATCTTTC